CTGAGTGACCACTGAGTGACCACTGAGTGACCACTGACCAGTGAGTGACCAGTGAGTGACCACTGACCGCTGAGTGTGCAGCCGAGATGGTGCTGCAGATGATCAGCGCCTGCAAGGGTGAGTGACCACTGAGTGACCACTGAGTGACCACTGACCATGAGTGACCACTGAGTGACCCCTGAGTGACCCCTGAGTGACCCCTGAGTGACCAGTGACCAGTGAGTGACCAGTGACCGCTGAGTGTGCAGCCGAGATGGTGCTGCAGATGATCAGCGCCTGCAAGGGTGAGTGACCACTGAGTGACCCCTGAGTGACCGCTGAGTGACCACTGAGTGACCACTGAGTGACCACTGACCAGTGAGTGACCAGTGAGTGACCACTGACCACTGAGTGTGCAGCCGAGATGGTGCTGCAGATGATCAGCGCCTGCAAGGGTGAGTGACCAGTGAGTGACCACTGAGTGACCCCTGAGTGACCACTGACCAGTGAGTGACCAGTGACCGCTGAGTGTGCAGCCGAGATGGTGCTGCAGATGATCAGCGCCTGCAAGGGTGAGTGACCAGTGAGTGACCACTGAGTGACCACTGAGTGACCACTGAGTAACTGCTGAGTGACCGCTGAGTGACCACTGACCACTGAGTGACCAGTGAGTGACCACTGACCACTGAGTGTGCAGCCGAGATGGTGCTGCAGATGATCAGCGCCTGCAAGGGTGAGTGACCACTGACCACTGAGTGACCACTGACCGCTGAGTGACCACTGACCACTGAGTGACCACTGACCATGAGTGACCACTGACCACTGACTGTGCAGCCGAGATGGTGCTGCAGATGATCAGCGCCTGCAAGGGTGAGTGACCACTGACCACTGAGTGACCACTGAGTGACCGCTGAGTGACCACTGACCGCTGAGTGACCACTGACCATGAGTGACCACTGAGTGACCGCTGAGTGACCACTGAGTGACCACTGACCATGAGTGACCACTGAGTGACCGCTGAGTGACCACTGAGTAACTGCTGAGTGACCACTGACCATGAGTGACCACTGAGTGACCGCTGAGTGACCCTCGGTGGCCCCGGTGACCCCGGTGACCCTGTCCCACCTGTCCCCAGGTGAGCGGGGGGCCATGGTCTCCTCCACCCTCAAGTTGGGCATCTCCATCCTCAACGGGGGCAACGCCGACGTGCAGCAGGTGAGCGGGCACACCTGTGTCACCTGTGCCACC